TCTGTGGCCTTTTTAATTAATAGTGTGTGGATCAATGTTGTTTTTAATAGTTTAGTTTAAAATTACCAACTTTTCCATTCCTCACCATTTACAGTGCTTCTGAACATCTGTTTCTGAATCAAAAGACAACATCAAAATGTAACCCTTGCCAATTTATCATGAGATTACTTTCTTGTAGTGATTCTCCTCCTGAGCAGGATCCAAGAGACGACTGATTTGTTGACAATATAACATAGAGACAGGTGACAGTTACACTTGGGTAATGAATGCATAACAATCTGGTGGCAGCTATTCTCTGAACAGAAAATTATGGAATGATTTCTCATTAACTTGGTCTTTTCAAAATGACATGGAATGTTTAGTTTTTACTGTTGCTCCGATCTTACATCTTCTATTACTTTCCCAAAAAGATAATACTAAGATATGATGATATTAGTAAAAATTAAAATGATTTGTAAATGTTAGAGTTAATAGGTTTAAATTAATAGTTTTGAACAGGCAGCTTGGAGTGCCTTTGTTCCTGTGTCAGAAATCAGAGCTAAAACAGGAGTTAGAAACTTGGAGCCCTCCCACTTTTGCTGAACTGTAATTCTCAACATCGTATGTTATTAGTTATCCTAGTTGAAGCTGCTGGATATTATAATTCAGCAACATTTTAAGGGCAACAGGTTCCCATCCCTGATATAAATCATCTCTCAGTAAAATGTTACTATGACCTCATTGTAGTTTCTGTCTTATAACATTAAAAAACAGTGTTGCACACTCATACATCACACATTAAAGATAAGTTTCCTTTTTAAAAAATCTGATAGCATGCTGGTTTTGTGAAGAAAAGGTTAGTCCATTCTATTACTACCCCATGTGCCATGAAAGAGCTGAAAAATTATAGTATTTATTATCCCCATTTTTTCTGTAGAATTCAAGATGGCATTCTTATAACTGGTGTGAAGGGAGATAGTAGCTGGTTTCACACATTGAGTGAAGCTATGGTTTTATGGAATTTTGATTTATTGAACAAACCACAATTGGGTAGGATGATGTAACATGTTAATCCATAACTAAACAAGCCACATAATAACAGTGCAGTGTGTGAACTAGTTTACTGAGTAATCTAAGATTATTCAACTGGTTTTATGGCTTTCATTTAAGGATGCATTTAAAATCAGATGTTCCCAAATATGATCTGGCATTTTAACAATGTCAAACTGAATTTCCTGTAGGGATTATGGTGAACCACAGGACCATTTTAGGGCTGCTGTTAGGAATATTCTAGGTATCTGGAAATAAAGTTTCACAGATTTGCTTGGAATTAGATTCTGACTGGACAAAACCTGTCAAGGTGATAGAAGCAGAGTCTTGTGTGGTTAACTGGAATAAGTGTGAGTCTGTAACATCTGAGGAGTTGGACAGAATCCTTGAGAATGCTAACCCAGTGACCTGTTCATTAGATTCATGCCATTTGTTAATGGAGGGCATAGTCCTGCTGCTTTGAAGGAGGTAGTGATGCATCCCCTCCTCAAGGGCCTTCATTGGACACACCTGTACTAGACAATTTT